ACCCTACCTCCCTTCCTACTACCCCCCCTCCCCCCCACCCCCCCCTCTCCCATCCAAGTTCTTATCCACTGAATGCTCGCTGCCATATATCAACTCTATTCCCATGATCCACACCCTGTCACCAACACATGCCTCATCCCCATCCCCTCACACACCCCATCCCCATCACGAGCACTTACTTCCTGTCTATATCCTCATCAAACAGCATGATTCCTCCCCTTACCTGAAACCACAGGATCGCAGTTTCCGAATGCATCACACCGCCGCCCCCACAGCAGCATTATTGCCGACCCTTCGCCGCCCGGATGTTACCCTCATCCCCGCTCATGTACGTTATTGGCCTGCACCCCGCACCCCCGCTATGACCCTTAAGCTTTTGTCCACTCTGTGTCCACTACAGGTGATGTTTCCCTCATCCCCGCTCATGTACGCAATTTGCCCCTCATTCAGCCCCCTCCAGTCTGGTCTGATCTGGTGTCCCACTTTTGGTGCCAGCATGCAATTTAGTACCGGGAATCTGTGATCAATATTCGTACAAATTACATTCCCAGTACCCTACTTCTTTTGATCAAATATTTAACAATTTCCTAAATATCTCATACAGTTTGAGATTTTTATTTGTACCTGTATGCCGCCTTGCAACAGATTCTCGTACTGAGTGTTTCAAAAACCATTTTAGTTTCGCTGGTGTAACCAAACGAGGGCCCCTCCCAATAATGGTTCCGCCACCCGCAAGCCACCCACCCACCCCCAGGACCCTTCACACAACCAGCACCCCACCCTGAACGTTTGAAATCCCCGGAAAATACACCCTCTTCTTCTACCCCTACCCATGTTTTTATTCCATATATCACCCCCTTCGATGCTTCGGCCTCTTATCACAACTACTACTGGCAACGATCCTTCCCCAGAGAAAAAGGGGGTTGAAGAGGTGGTGGATACCCCTCTTGTTGATATATAAATGAGGGGTACAGGGGTGGTCAATATTTTTTTAATTTGTAGAAACTTCTACGGGGGTCCTAGGAAGTCGGACAAGCAAGGGGGTATACAGCGACATTTGGCCTAAAAATCAAAATCCATAGCACCGGCTAAGACTTTCCTAGGACCCGCTATAGAGAAGTGGCAATGCACCCTTGCACCCCAGAGAGACCTGGGACCTGACCTACCCCTACCCCTACCCCCCAGCACGACCACAAGGCAACATATCGACCACCGGTACAAGGCGGGATATACCCCGTGGAATTCTTTTCACCATTGCAAGAGGTGTAGCCTCGATTCCAGGGGTGGTCAGGTTTTTTACCTGGGGTGGGTGGTTTATGTGCAGTCGGAGACTACTTTTGAGGGGGTGATGACATATGGTTCTGGGGGGTCGTGGGGTTCATAGGGAAATCGATTTTCCATCGAGAACGGGTGGGGTATTAAAGATAACCTGGGGTGGTGGTTAGGTTTTCACGAATTCTAGAGGTCGGGGGATGAAGTCGATTAGGTAGGGTGGTGGAAAATATCTCAAGGGTGTAGTGATACTTGGGGGTGATGATCAGTTCTTGGTAAGGTGGGGTAGTCAGGGGTGGGGTTGTCTGATAGAAGCAGGGGAGGGTGTTGACCATGTGTACCAAAATTGTGCCTGGGATGAATTTAACTATTGTGGGAAGGTGATGGTGTGGTCGTGAGAGAAGCAAGAAGGAGAAGAAGAGAAGAAGAGACGAAGAGAAGAAGAGAAGAGAAGGAGAAAGGAAGACAAGAAGTGAAGAAAAACAAAGAGGGAGGTCAATCAAGCAAAGAAATCACAGGAGCAAGGCCATCTGCGTATCATTTGAAGGAAGTGCACACCAGGCTCGAATACAAGCGACTGTCACGAAGGAAGGTTCAGAGGACAAGACAGAACAAACCGGCAGCGGGACTTTCAGGATCTGAAATTGATCACGTCATCGTTTGATATTCAGGCAGGAGGATCGAAGAGTACCGCCAGTGAACAGCTTATTGTGAGGCTTGACAACCCATAGCTTACTGTGAGGCTTGACAACCCATAGCTTATTGTGAGGCTTGACAACCCATAGCTTACTGTGAGGCTTGACAACCCATAGCTTACTGTGAGGCTTGACAACCCATAGCTTACTGTGAGGCTTGACAACCCATAGCTTACTGTGAGGCTTGACAACCCATAGCTTACTGTGAGGCTTGACAACCCATTTCACCATGTGCGACGAGATCATAGAAATTTTGCAGAACTATGACTCGTCGGATGAATCCTGCAGGGAGGATGAGAATGTTTGCTTCAAAAACAGCGACCTGTCAGACATTTTCTTATGCATCGCTCTGGGGCATTCGCTGAAACGCACGGAGAGTTTATTCAAGATATTTCCTATCGAGTTGATACAGAACTGTCTGTGTGCTGAGATCAGGCAGCAGTTTTGGGCCTTTCAGTCAAGCATTGGTTACGTGACGCCCGAACCCTTCGCCCCTGCCTGCTGGAACACGGCTCCTCCTCCTGTCTCCCGTCGAAAGATCAAGTCTGAAGCGTTCAGCTCGTCGGAGTATGCGAGGAAGCATCAGCCGGTGAGGGAGGTGAACTGGCCGCAGAGCGTGCCTGGCAAACTCCCCAAGCATTTCCACGTGCTGGAGGTGGAAGGATGGGATCAGGACATGGCGGGAGGTGACGGCATGTGCGAATGAAGGGAGGATAGAGAATTGAACTAATTAGAGGGTGAGAAGTCGAGATTGAACGGCTTTTTCCCCGTTTGTAGTTGTTGTGATAATTTATGTACATTTTTACACTTTTTGATTCTGAAATTGATATGAACAAACGTTAGTGCGAGATACGCTCATGGTACACGAGAACTACCTGCATAATTCGTAGGATACAGTCGTGCATCTGATCTCTTGAGAGGACAGGGTTGAGACAGGCGTCAAGCCCGGGGTTGTGCATGATTTCAGGGTTGCAGTTGGGACTGCCCGGCTCGTCGTCCCGGCAGGACGCCTGGTGTGGAACATTCAGCACGTCCATCTCGGGCATGAAATTGAGTCACCTGGTTCAGAGTCCGTCGGAAGAGCAGCCACACGAAGTGATTGGCGCAGGAGATCTTGTCCTCCTGCTCCTCCTCGTCAGCTCTACCACCACAGGAAGCTTGCAAGCAACAGAGGTCAGCTCCTCGTCGCCCTTGGAGCACTTCGCCCACGTCTGGCTGATGCCCTGGAGAGTGAGAGGAGTTAGCGCAAGAAAGACAGCGGAGGGGGGGCGGGAGGAGAAGGGAATCAGCGGGACGAGACTAACCGGCACGTTGTAAGGATACGCTTTCTGCAAGCGATGAATACTATCGATGTCGTTCTCGCTGTTGACTGCAGGAAAGGTGAGGAGGAGCATGGTGAGATATGAAAGCCTGACCTCCACGGTTCGTGGCCTCTGTGAAGAGGCTATTGATGACGCTGGAGACGATTTCCTCCTTCGATCCTTCTGCACAAGAACGTCGCTAGTGAGAAGCAGGAAGAAGATCATAACAGCTAGCTGCAGGTATCAACAAAAGTCTCTGACCTTCATC